TCAAGTTCAGCTGTGAAAATATGTAGAAAGGATTATCTATTACTTTATTTGTAGTTCAAGCATTGTCCTGGATTTATTAAATAAATAATCCTGGATTTATTCATAAAGAAGATGATACTTCCCAAGGTTTCACCAGACCCAAGTATCTTCTGTTCATTTCACAGGTATTGAAACAAAGGCACAAGGAGGTAAGCGACTCATCCAAGGTTACTCACCGAATGCAATATTGTTGAACCCACTTCTACAGAAGTTTAGAAGTATTAGTCATTATTGGATTTGTAACAACATAGAAACCATCCAGAATGAACCTCAAACAGTGAAAACAAGTGGAAATACATGAGACTAAATACATTCTACCATCTACTGGTGATGTAGAGAATTTCAGCTTTATGAATTTCATTCTGTGTAATATCGGGGTGAGGCAGTTTTATCTGCTTTGATGTGATGTTTAAACATTTTTAAAGATGTCATGAAATAGTGATCCATTTATCATCATACATGTATATTTTGTTTCATGTACCCTCTCAACTAAAGGGCTCATCACAATTAATATTTTTTAAACCCAACAATTTATACTATATAGTAGTTTGAAATTTATAAAAATGCAAGTAAGTTGTGGTGGCCCACACTTGCAATCATCGTATTTGGGTTGTTGAAGCTAAAGAATTACAAGTTCAAGGTTATCTTAGGCTACACAGAAGACAATTTTATCAAAACGCCAAACAAACAAACAAACAAACAAACAAAAACTACATAAAGAAACAGAACCCAACCCAAAATAACAACAACAGAATACTAGAATAAATTATCTCATAGAAACTAGGTAAGATTTTCATGTTGTTTGAAATGAAGCAGATGGATATTAAGGTCTGCAATGGGTAGTAAACAGGTTTCTGGGAACCGTCCCCAGAAATTTCTGAGGACGGCAGAAAACCCAATCTAAGACAGAAGACTGGGACATGGCATTTGATGCTGCTTCTATGATGGAAAAATGTAGAATGGTAACTTCTGCTTCTAAACATGAAGAAGGAGTCCTGGGACTGCTGTGAGCCTTATCTACAGAGGCAATGGTGGCCTAAAGGATGAAGTGAAGGATTACCCCACAGAAGGATTACCCCAGTGTTCTGAAGATGACCTTGCTCATTGCACAAGTCAGCCCTGGAAACTGCTTTGTCGTTTTGCTGTTAGGACAAGAGATGGCAGCCACTGACCACTGTCCAGATAGTTAGCTTTGTTCTTTATCCACATGTCCTCGCCAGTCTCAACGGACATTTTAATAGTATTCATGCTCTTTCACTTTTATTAATGTGTGATTTACCATAGCACCATGATAGCGTCTACCATTTGCACACAATTTTAGTATGAGAAGTCCTAATATCTTCACCCGTAAAACACTGAGCACTTGACTTTCAGAATTTTTAAGATTTTATTTCAACATTGTTTGATAATGCTTAGTATAAGTTACATTTCTGTGGCAAAAACAATATTATATAGTACATGTACTGTATCAACTTGTCTCTGGAATATAAGACATGTATCTGGATCGTCTACATATCTTTAGAGAATTCATCTCATCAACCTCTGGAATCTGGAATCTGACGAAAATGCAAACATTTATATGGATGATTATTGCTAGGTCTTAATGTCTCCCTCAGGCATGGGATGAGAGATCTGAGTCAACAACACAGACCCCAAGAGTCAGATGAAAGGAAAAATAGCATACTCCTTTATTTAGCAATGGGGGTAGGCTTATATACCCTCCCAGCACCCAGGTATTCCATTCCGTTGACATTGAGTGGCTGCCCCTCATTGGCTAGGCATGATCAGAACCTCTGAGATATTGTTTCTAGGTCTCAGACAGCATCTCATAGTCGCTCCTCATTGACCTTATGTGACCAGGACCTATGACAGTGCCAGGCAGAGTACGGTTGGCTCATCTCTCAGCCTGGTATGCCTTAACTTCCTACAGATGAGCTCTTTCAAATCTGGGTCAATGAAGAAAAAGCATAGTGAGAACAGAGGTAACATGTGCATGGATTTTCTTCCCTCATGAAAACATTTTATGAACATATACATATATATATATATATATATATATATATATATATATATATACATCGCATAGTTTCATGGAAGCAGATTTTTTTTCTTTTTCCATTCATTCATTTAGCTCATAAATAAAGTCATGCACAATTATGATACATAATACAGTATGTTCACAATGGCATGGATAAATTAAACCAATTAACATGTTATATCACACATATTCATCATTTTTGTTTTGAGAACACTTAGAGTATACTATCTCACGACTTTTAAAATATAGCGTATGGTTATCAACCATATTTATCATTCTCTCAGTAGACCTTAAGACATCACAGAATCCATGCCTCTTGTCCAACTGCAGTTTTATATCCTTAAATCAATGGTTTCCCCATTATTAAAAGACCCACATTGAAGCCTAATAGCCACAATTCGGAAGCAGATATTTTTAATGTAGTCTTATAATATAAAATGTGTACATGCAGTCATAATAGATCTCATTTAGTATTATTTTGGGTGTTACATTTTGAGTATATTTTGAGTACTTATAAGTATATGGCTTCATAAAAGTTATATAAAATGTGATCATGAATCACACTTAAACACACTTAAAGTGTAATTTAAAAATTTCACTTATTTATTTATTGTGTGGGAGTCACACATGCCACAACATACATGTGGAAGTCAGAAAATAACTTGCGAGTTGATTCTTTCTATACCATATAGGTCCTGGGAACCACCCTGAGGTCTGATCAGGCTTGACCACAAGTACTCTTAGCTGCTGAACCACGTCATTAACCATAATCTTTTTCATGCTACAAGTTTTTTATTATTCAAAACAATTCTAAAATTTGAATATATATTTTATTATATTCTTCCCTTCTCCCAAGTCCTTCTAGATCCTCTCCCCATCCCTCTCCACCCAACTCTAGGTTCTTTCTCAAAAAAATCAATAAAAACAAAATACAACAACAAAGTCCTCCCCCCAAACACAAAAACAACAGACTGTGACCAAATGAAAGCACATACAAAAACAAACAAACAAACAAAAAACCTGTGGAGTTGATTGTATGTTGGTCAACTACAGCACTACAATATGAAATAGATTATATCCCAATATATTCTTCCACATCCCATTCTTTCTTTTCAGAGATACTTGGGAGTGTATAGAAACCTACATCATTAAGGCTACACCATTAAGAATCATTCACATACATGGATTGAGAAAATGTGGTACATTTATACAATGGAGTACTACTCAGCAGAAAAAAGCAATGGAATCTTGAAATTCACAGGCAAATGGATGGAACTAGAAGAAACCATTCTGAGTGAGGTAACCCAGTCACAAAAAAGACAAACATGGTATGTACTCACTCATATATGAATTTT